TCCAGCCTTGAAAGAGAATTTTGTGAGGACACAGGGTTTCATGCTTGCAAGCCAACTGTACAGTGTTTTACTATAATAATTATAATGAAATCATTGATGCCAAAGAGAATTAGTGAGAGACCTGGGCAGCCCTCAGCAGTTTAGCAGTACGATTCAGTTCCTGGTGACTTCTACACTTGCAGAGATGAAAGGTCAGGCCATTTGGTTGAGGACTTCACTAATAACACAGTAGTAGTGTGGTGTTCACCGTATACAGAAAATACACGCACAGTAACATAACATGGGAAATGTGCAGCAGAGCAGTTGAGGTGTCACAGATTTCAGGGTTTCCTCTTTAACAAAGGTTCCAGGGTACGCTCTTAGATCCTTATTTATGGGTTATGACAAGATCACAACGGAAGAATGAACCAGTGGGAAATGTGTGTGAGAGAGAGAGAGATAATTATTAAAGATCACACATTTCTATGTCATTTGTCCATCAGTCTCTGACAACAGGAGTTCTTTCTGTTCCCACAATAATTCAAGGAAGTGAGCACTCTTTTGAAAAATTATCTGTGTGTGTGTGTGTGTGTGTGTGTGTGTGTGTACATGTGAAGTTCAGAGGACAGCTCTGCAGAGTCAGTTCTCTCCCTCCACCTTTACTGGTCTTGATTTATTAAAAAAAAAAAAAAACAGGAAGAGAGTAAATAAACAAACAGTTCCCGTTGCACTGATGCAATCTGTTCATTACTGACATTAATCATCTCTCTTTTATCACCGATTTTGATTTAGGTCAAACTTAGCCAGCACATTGATCTAGGCTGCTGCCTCCATGGGACCTGCAGCCCAGTGACTTGACTTATCATTAAAGTCTCTAAATCTGTAAACATTAAGCCCTCTTCAGGGCTCTAATGGTTGGGATTGCCAATCACTGTCCTTACTGGCCATGTCAGGAGATTCCTCCATAAGGAGCTGGACAGATGGCTCCATGATCAATGGCCCCTACCACTCCTACAGAAGACACCAGTCCAGCTCCGAGCAATCAAGTCAGGGGATTCATCATTTACAACTCCAGCTTCAAGGAATAAATCACCATCTTCTGGCCTCTGAAAGCTTCTACACACATACATACATACATACATACATACATTCATACATACATGCATACACACACACACTGTATGTATGTAATTCAAAATGAAATAATTCTTTTTAAAAGAGTGAGAACTCTTTTACCATAAGACTCCATAGGTATAACATCCTTCTCTTACAATAATTCGACTCATTTATCCCTGCCAATAGAGCACCTGAGTCCTTTTCTGATGGTTTACTTGGATGAGCCTCCTTACCCTAGGCACATGCCAACACTTTTGGTTAAGTAGAATGTTTATTATGCCCCTTGGTTAGAAGCATCCACTACAGTCCTTTGAGAACTGAGATATTGTTCAGAGAAGACAAGAATAAATTCTCTAGTGATGAGAAAAATGGTTCCTAAGCAGCTCTCCAAAGGGCTCCTGCTACCCAGAACAGCGGTGTTTTGTGATCATAATAACAGAAGGACATTAGCAGCAATGGTGTATAGCATGGATTCTAACTGGTCTTAATAATAAAAACTGGAAGTCAAATATTGGGGTAAATGCTGAAAAATCAGAGAAGCAGAGCAGCCAGCCACTAAAAAAACTTCTTACCTCTAGAAATCCTCAGACTGAAAGGGCCAACCTTCTGTCTCCACCTTGCCTTATCACTTCCTCTCTCCACCCAGCCATATCACTTTAATCCCTCCCAAGGGCTGGGATTAAAGGCATGTGCCTCCCAAGTACTTGGATCAAAGGCATGAGATCCCAAGTGCTGGGATTAAAGTGTGTGCCACCACTGCCTGGCCTCTAGTGGCTAGCTCCACTCTGATGGCTAGGTAAGCTTTATTTGTTAGAGCACAAACAAAATATCACCACAGTGGTGGTTCTTAGGATGCTGCTGGCAGGTGCTAAAGAGAGAGAGAAGTCCTGACATAGGAGGAAGGTACCCATGCTTGCATATGCATTGATTATGATTTCAGTTTCCAGGCAGTGCTTCTGTAGTAACTGGGATAATTTCAGACTTTTTTTTTTTTTTTTT